CTCTGTAGGGTTGGTTTGGTAGTCATGAATTCCTTCAGTTGTTCTTTATCTTGGAAGTATCTTATTTTTCCATCAATTCTGAAAGATTGTTTTGCTAGGTAGATCAATCTGGGTTGGAAGTTTAAAGGAGGAAACTGGACACATTTATTTCTGTTCCATCCTCCACTCCCATCCCACTTCTATGGGAAAGAAGTATCAGAGCGGTACATATATTCTGCAACCTTTCTTGAGAACAGTGACAGAGTACCCCTGCAAGGGAGTATAAAAGCTTCTACTTCTTTGGGTATGTAAGTAAAGCTCTTAATATGAGGGTTTAACGTTAAGAAACTCACTGTTATGGTTTATATCTTAGTATCTCTCAGGAAACTCATGTACTCAGGGGGGAAACTTTTAGAAAGGAGTCAACTATGGGGATGCTGTAGTTGAACTGGTGTTAGGAGATAATCCTGGTTAGAAACGGGTGATTGGAGGTTTGACCCCCAAGAGCATAGCTCTTTCCTTGATCCTCTCTTTAATAGATTCCCTTCTTAAATATAAGCCAATTTCTTCACAAATTGATCTGTCAGCAATGATGAAAACAATATTTTAATTAGTTCATTTATTAATAAGTTAGCATATTTATAAGTACAACTATGTTAGGAAACAGGTTGATTCCCGTATCACAAACTAATTAAATGCTTACCAAATCTATTTCATATTTTGGAATGTAACATACCTAAACATATTTCTCAACATTTTCTACAATTCAGTGTTGCTATGCAAATCAGTGCTCACCTACATGTTGTAAAAGAGAAAGTAACAAATAAGACACTCCTTCATGATCTTCCCATTTTTCTGTTTTCTAACATTTGATCAAATGCCTGCATCCACACATGTGACCACTGGGACCCAGAGGACAAAGAGTTAGTGAATAGAAACTACCCTCAAAACAGGGGTAGGAATTGTACATGAGTAAAAAATAATTGTGTCCCAGAACTCAGAGAAGATGGATGAGTCAGGAGGATCTGTCATTTGAACCCAACATGAGCAACTTGGCAATTTAACAAGTCTTTTTTTAGTCTCCAAAAAAGAAAGACAAGAAAAAGAAATGAAAGTAGCTTAGTTTGAAGATTTTGGATTCAACCCCTGGAGCTATAAAGTGAACATCTTTTAGACAAAATTTTATCCAAAAATTCTGAATTTTTTGTTATTGTTTACTGGAGTAGTTACAGTAGAAATTTTATGATATCATTATGGGCCATCCATTAAATTCTCCAAACAGGTAGGTGGATTTGGATTTCCTTAGGCTTACAAGTTACTTGAAAGGCAGCTATTAATCTAGTAAAAGAAAAGTGATTGTGGTATTTTCAGTTAAAGGAAAACATGATGTAATTTAGGGATTTACAAATATCATCCACCCGTGTTGGTAGAGGAAAAATGAATTAAAGGAGGTCAACAGTGGTAGTGAAGTGACCTGGAAGACAAGAAAAGTAATAGATTATGAGCTCTGTCTGTAGAAGTAGCAGAAGGAAAAGCATCACAGGAGATACACTTCGAAAAAAAGAACTGAAAAGTTACAATCAGTTTCAGTCACTTTTAGGAATAATTTTTCAAGCCACAAAAATTTCAATGAGATCACATTTCCAGTTAGTTTTGACCTTGTAGCTCTGCTAGTGTTCTATTAAACAACTATTTCAAATAACTATCTTTAAGCACCAATTCTTGATCTCTACAGAGTAACTCACATATGTCATATTTTTGTTTAGAAGGTAGGATATAGGTATAGAATTTTAGCTGCTTATTACTAACAATTTTAGTTTTCTACTCTCCCCACTTCATAACTCTCTTTTTGAAGTTTCTGAGATCAGACTTCAATGTAAGTTATGAGTACCATAAAGGATTCCAAAGTACCTGTTTCTTATAAATTTTTCAAAGTTTCTATATTAGCAATTAATATATTTTTATGATTACAAAAAACTCAATAAAATCTATAAAAAACGTGCAGTACCAGATAAAATCACACAGGTCTCAAGAAAAATGAAAAGGCTACCCTTCATTTTTCAGCTTCAGACTAACGTTAGTAATATTTTTATATATGGCAAAGGATCCCTTCCACTATAAAAACAATCAGCTATTGACTTTTAAATACAGTATCATAGTTATTTGTAATCAATGGTACTTACATAAGTATTTGATCTTCTAGACTCAGAGATTTCATAGAAATGATTATTTCAGCACTACTGGAATTTATAATCTAATTTAAATCAATATATACAGACATTCGGAAGAGCTGAATCAGTATTAAATTTAACACAGGAAAAGCAATTTGGATTTAATTACCACTAGTGCTCACTGTCTTGGTTGCATTTTGAATACTTGGATTTCACAATTTAATTTCTCTTTTCTAAATGTCAGTTATTTAAGAATGATTTTTCTCTAAAGAGCACCAGATTTTAAATACATTTTTAAAAATCTAGGTCTATTAAGCACATCTGTTTCCAATTCAAACATTGCTAATCTCTCCATTAGCACTTCTTAGCTCAAAATATACTTGCTTTCAACAATTTTAGTATCTACAAAATAATTGCATTCGTATGTGATTATTTTTTACATAAAGAGCCACAGTAAAAGTGGAAGTCGCTATCAAAACTTTTGAGGAATAAGGAAAGATACCATGGAGTTTCCAGTTATTGCAAGGAATTTTATGAATGTTAACAACTCAGACATTGAATATTTTAAGTTTATATTGATTATGATGCCATTTTCAAGTATCTTATAAAATCTTTATTCTATTACAATCCATTAAAAAGAATTAAATAATTACATGTAACTCAATATTTTACTAGTTCTGTTTTTAAATATTTTTAAATTTTCATATTTTATAAAAATTTAAATATATATGCATACAGCATTTGTTCATGAATCTCTAAATACATCACAAGTTCCTAGTAGGAAAGTAGAAATATTTTAAATTTCATAAAAAGTGCAAACCATGTTTTTGTCTTTGTTTATAACTTTTCATTACCTACAATAAAAATTATGTGTTATTGTCTTGTTTAACTTCATAGTTCATCTAAATGAAACATAAAATCAAAACTTTTTCAGCAGTGTTTTATTCTAAAAGCCATATCAATAGCTTACCAACTAAAGTCATTATATTGCATTAATACTTAGAATCAACCATAGACTTAATTTTCACAGTAAAATGCTCAATTTATTTGTTCTCATACCTATGTATCTTTGTTAATCAATTTAGAGTGGATACTTTCAGATTTACTACTAAAAAGAAAACATCTTAAGAAGAAACATTTTAAAATATATCAGTATATTGCTTTGTAAGTCAACTCAATACCATGAATTTTCCCCAAAACTTTTGCTACATAAATATTACATTACTTGAACAAAAAAGTTTTTGAACTAAAAGTGACATTATCAAGTCTATACTGCACACCAGTGGCAGGAGATTGTATATGCAGGTGAGTTTTTTTAAAGACCAATTCTATATTAAATATTAGCTTTCCTAGTCATATTTAACATTTTTATTGCATATAAACACACTCTAAGAATAACGTGATTTTTGTGTTGAGAACTATGCTTTCTATAAAATGTTAACTAACTACAAATGTTCACTCTAAGAATATCATTTTCATTTAGGTACCTGTACACATATAAATACTATAAATCTACATATTCATGTACAGGAGTGAGCTGGTGCACACCTAGGTATACTGCACACACACCTGCTAAATGTGAACCTATTTGGAAGAATTTCATGTCATTATTATTGCTCATTTTTCCTTCCTTTTGCTCATTATATTTTCTGTCATATCTACTTGGAACAACATTTAGTAAACAAAACGTATACAATTATTTTAATTAAATTAATTTTAATTAATACATCAAAAATTATATGTATTGGGTACTATGTGATTTTGCAATATATTGGGTACTGTAGAAATCATGTTAAAGGTATCTACCACCTCAAACATTTGTTAGTTCTTTATGATCAATACATTCAAAATACTTTTCCTAGTTTTCTGAAATATATAGTACTATCAGTACCACAATTATCCTATTGTGAAGTAGCACACTGGATCCTCTTCTTAGACCTAAAAATTAGTTCGTATCTGTTGCTTAGTTTTTCCTGATTTTTCTCCTTCCCTTTCCTAGTGTTTATTTGTCCCCAGTTTATTCTCCAATTCTATGAGATCGATTTCATTTATAGTGAGACTTGCAGTACTTTCTTCTGTCCCTCGGTTCACTTAACATAATGATGTAAAGTTTCACCAGTAGTGCTTTCAATGACTGAATTTTCATTCTTTTTATTTTTAGAGTGATAAACATTTGAGAATCATTAAAATTAGAGGGCTAATGACAACATTTTTTGATAGTTCAATAGAAAAGAAAAAAGTAAGTGGTTTAGAACTATAATGTCAGTATGAAAAGAACCTAAATTTACTTGAGATAAATTGTTAATATCAGATATCTTTACAAAAGATTATAAAAATTGTTTATTCTAGATGACAGGCTATAATAAGATATATTCAGCAGTCTCTTCATATGTGCTTTGAATGGCTCATTAAATGCGGTGTGTAGCTGATCATTAACCATATATATATATATATATATATATATATATATATATATGGTTATTATGTATACACACATATATATGGTTAATGATCTGCTCGCACTTGCCAGGCAGGCACTGTGCTGCTGAGCTATCTCCCCAGACCTTACATAGTGTTTTGTACCTTACATACATACAATTATATTTTCTCAGAAAATACAAGCAAAAACTAGCATGAGCTGCAAAAGTGTACTGTGTACAGCATGGCATCTTATGTACTTAGTCTGAGTAAACTACTGAGTTTTGCTTTCAATAGTCTCCTTTAGAAAAAATGCTCTTAGAGGAATTTTCTTACAATTCCCTGTTGCACACCATGCCTTCTGCCTTTGCTCACTGGGGCACACTGCGAACCGTGGCTTCTGATTCTCCCCTCGCACCATTTGCTACCTACCTCTTTCCCATGTGATGCCCTTGACCCCTTCAGTTCTTCATATTTCCATTTCCACAGAGACAAAGCTGACTCCATTTGCTCTATTTCTTTTTCCAAAGCTGCACGCATTCTAAATCATTCCAGAATTAAAAATAAAGCAAAGTAGACATGATTTTAAATAATATTAGGAATGTATCAAATTTTCTACTTTCTAATTTCTGATGTGTAATCATTAGTTGAGAAAATGTTTTTCAACTTAATAAAATTATAAGTATTGAATAAATGTGTTATTCTGTTAATTAGCTATAGTAAACATTTAATTTCACTCTGAAAGCATTAAATGTCTACTTGCTTTGTACTATATATTTCATGCCTTTTTCTCAATTCACATTTCTTTATTTCCTTACATAGCAACGTATTACATATAAACATATATATGTAATTTTAACATGGTTTTGATTCATCTTCATATTGTGACTGTGCTTGAATGAATTCTCTGAGATGACACAGAATGCTTACATAAGAATATATTTTAAATATTTGAAATTTGTTTTAATAAAACAACTTCACTGGGATCTTTATAGTATTTAACATAATTTAAATTTTCCATTTGTAGAAGTGAGAACAGAGCTAAGATTAAAACCTTGCCCTTTATTTCAAAACCATTGATCTTTATCTTTGGCCACAGTATTCATTAGAGTGAGTCACTGAAAATAATTGTTTTACTTGTGGTTGTCAGCACATATTGACCTTTGCAAGTGGGCTATCTTCATCTGTGTGGTAGGTTAGATTACTATTTAAAAACACCATTCTTTTTCTTTAGTTTCAAGGACAGAGCTGATTTCCTCATCAATTAATTCCAGGCTTTGACAACAAATATTATTTTATATAACAAAAGCAGAATTTGATAAAGTAATTATGTGTTTGGAATCTAGCTAAATTCTGATTGTTATGTAACACACTGAGATATTTGTGATTGTTAGTCACAGCTTTATTGTATTTATGGCTAATAAATTTATACATGGATCTATTTCAGTGATATTGTTTCACTAGAAAGCTTTTGAATACATTCACAGAGCTAGAATATATATGTAGAATCAAAATTGAATGTCATGTACATATTTATAAGAAACATGACTTTATGAAAGCAATATATGAAAATAATTCAAAATAGTCGTAAATATATCCATTTAACCCAGTCAAATGGATGAAATATCTATTAAAGACGTATTAATTATACAACCATGAATCAAGCCATAATATTAAAAAGAATATAAAAGAAACAGTAATTAGCTTTACTGCAGAAGATTAATGATTCAAAAATGGAATCTTTATTAATGCAACAAATATATCAAAAAAATCAACATAGACATCTAGGTATTATGAACAATGCCTATGAATTATCTATAGCTTCCAGTTAACATTGTCAGCCTAAATTTTTGACAGCTGAGCAAATTTTGCCAGTATAGTTTTCTCACTTTTTACTGTGATATAACTTTTGTCTTTAGTGGCTGTGTTTGGAATGCTAAGAAGTATAAAGCACAAAGATAATTAGCAAACAGTAACGTTTTTGCTATTAAAAAGTCTGTGTACAAGTGTTTGCATGCTGAAATATGTGGCATATATCTAACATGTGAGTACTTCCAAACTTCCAGATGATAATGTACATTAGAAAATTAAAAAGATAATGGATATTGGCTAAGACTTGTGAATTTAAGGTGAGAAGTATGAAAAATTAAAGTTCTAGGATTGTAACTTTATGGCAACATTCAAGGTAAGCATCATGCTAACTTATTAGATTTACATGCATAAAAATTTGGAATATTTTGTTAGTAACTGCAAAAATTTTAAAAGCAAAAAAATATTAAATTAGTAAAAAGAGATTTTAATCAATTATATTTGTGTATATTTCTCCTAAAATCAACTATGAAAATTATTTGTTTATAAATAAAATTATAGAGAAAAATTATACTTGGTAATCTCAGAAATCTTAGATAATTAAATTCACAAATTATGTATCACTTTTTGATATTGCACTTTGGAAATTCAAATGATAAAGATTCAAATTTAACTCAAACTTCTCAGAACAAAGTGGCTCATTTACTATAAAAGCAATATATGATTAATATGATTACAGAATTTATGATTACAAAATAAGTATGGTCAAAATTATTAGAGAACAATTTTTTCATGAATCTATACCTATTTCAAAACTTTTTCTAAATGTGCATTAAATTTTCAATTTTAATTATATGAAAAAACCCTAAAGTAAAGTTATATCTAGATTAGGTCTAAACCTAGAAAATATTCAACAACAATTTATAAAATAAAAATAATGTAATTTACTAAAGAAAACTAGCATGAATAATAACTTGTTTTACTACTACTACGACTAGTTGACAACATTTCAAATATACTAGTATTTGGAGTACATGTCAATTAAAATAAGTAATATATTAGTTTCTTTCTAGATATTTTTATCTTGTAAAAAGCTGTAATTTGGTCATAAAAGTGAGAAGACAGGTTATGAAAATGTGATGCTTGAATATTTTAGTATGGTTTTATAAAAAATGATTTCATAGCTTTGTGAAATTGAGCATTAAAGACATTGCACATCTAAATTTATGCAGCAGAGGGCACTCTATAAAACCTTTATTTTATCCAAATTAATTGTTTCACAGAGATTTTCAAAATTGATTAATCTTATATTTAAATATATAACTCAATTTAAAGAGTATTATTATTTAGTGCTACTTGATGCAATATAATCCTATTTAAATGACAAGAAAGCAAAGAAATCCTAACATTTATTCTAAAAGATATTGCATATTTCATGCATATATTCTGTAAAAGAATAAAAATATAGATACTATATTAAAATACAGCATTTTGAAACTTACAAAATACATTTTTAAAAATAAAATGGCTAAAACACAAAATTTACAGACTCTTAAAAGCTAAGCTGTGTAAAATTATTTTTAAGGAAAGATGTATTTATATTTCTTCCCAATTCTTTCATACTTTATTACCCAGTATGATCTCATAGTAAATGGAAGTAAAATTTGAACATCTAGACGGGAAACTATTCAAGATTATTCTCAGAGGTGAAAGATCTAAAACATAAATATCTATAAATAAATACTGACCATTTCAACTGTGGAAAATTTCATAGAAAAATTATCAGTATTTTCTGAAAGAACTTATTAGTGTCATAATATTTTGTGAAGTCCAAATAGATAATTACTAACAATATGACTCCATGTAGATGCCCATTTTTGTAGTAGTCTATAAAATTTAGCAGTTTCCTAACTTTGTACTTACACAACTATTTCCTTCTATTTTTCTTGAAGCCAAGGGAATGAACCCAGGGCTTATTTACAACTTCAGTTTTTTTGTTTTGTTTTGTTTTTTGTTTTTTTGTTTTTTGAGATAGTTTATTTCAGTCTAAACTGCTCAGACTGGGTTTGAACTTAGGAACCTCCTGCCTCTGCTTCCAACGGAACTGGGAGTACAGACATGAACCATCAGACTCACTTACTGTACTTGGGATGTCTTTAAGTCTTCAGAGATATATAAATGTTCAGAGCATAAGGAGCTTCCAAACACTGAGAAATATTCATAAAGCTGAATAGAATTCTACATGCAAATAACTGAGTAATTTTAGTTCTGTCGATGTAGAAATTCTTCTCAGGACAATAGTGGAAAAAATTCCCTGGGGTTAAAAAAAAAAAACCTTAAAAATTTAAAAAAATTATAAAATTCCCTGAGTTTCCTCTGCTGGTTCTTGTGCACTTGTCAGGAAAAATTTTCCAGCAGATAAAAATTCACACCAAAAAAAAAAATCCTACATTCATATCTCCATAAAATTCCATATGGAAATCTTTGAAACATTAGACATTTTGTAGCCAGCAACACTATATCCTCAAGGGAACATTCTGCTGTGATATTAACAAAAAAAAAAAAAAAGACCCCAATTGCCTCATGTTATTTCTATGTATATATGGATTAATGGATACATGAGCCATGACTCATGACATCTGAGGGATACTTTCTCAGGAAGAATTATAGATAAACAAAACTAAAACGAAAAAGTCCCTTCACTCTCCCTGTAATCTGGCTGTGGCTACGCATGGTATACGAAAATTTTGTTGAAAACTGGAGAATTTACTTATCTGAATCTTGTTCATTGAACACAAAAAGTCACAAATGTATTTTGCATATATGTATGGGGTAAGAGCACTAACAAAGCATACGATTATTATTAAAACTGGTACCTTAGAATACAAAAGGTTACATCAAGGGAAATGTAACATACTATTCCTATTAGACTGAGAATGGGTTTGAGAAAAGTTTATTACTACCAAAAACTAAGTCCTTCAGGAAATACAAGCATGAAGGATCAAATTTGACTGAGACTTTTAGGTCTAGGTAAAATTGCCAATATGTATGCAAACATAAATTTTATTCTTTTTTCCACTACTATCTCTGGCCTTTATTAGGAATATGTTCCTGCTAGTAGAAAAGTATTTAATCTGTACACAAATGTTTGTGTTGTCATAGTCTATTAGTAAACAAGAGATTTGAAAAATAGAATTAGTAGTGCTAGAAAATTTCAGAACTAATAGGAAACTGGCTGACAGAAAAGGAATGGCAGATGAAGGGCTTATGATATTTGTGAAAGACTTGTCTGCCTGATCACTATTGCAGTCCATTTAAATCGGGGAAATTAAAACCACTATATAGTACATACTTATGCAATATAGTGGGGATTATATATATATATATATATATATATATATATATATATATCCATCTTGTTTTTCTGGCTGTTCCTGTTAACAGTCTTGTAAGTAAGGAAATGAACAAATAGTTACTTTCAGATTTTATTTTATTTTTTAAATACATATGTATGTCCTGGGGCATACAAATCCATGATAAAAGTACTTTCCAAAGATGTCTCCCACAATGACTGCAACTTCCATTCTCATAGCATAAAACAATTTTGCCACTCATTCATTGAGACTGCACTCTCCCTCAAACTTGAATTGACCTTTGAGAAAGGGACCTCTCTAGGTCTGCACTAAGGGACCAGAAAGATGCTCAATGACTTTTGAGGCATGATTAATGAAACAATGTATAATAAATCTTTGAATGTTCTTAGGATGTTCACCTGCCATCTAACCAAGTCAAGCAGTCACAAAAACAGAACATGTTGCAGGAGTTCCAACAGAGGATCCAGGAAAGAACCAAAGCCAACCAAAAGTAGGGTGAATGAGTGAGACTTCAGTAATCCAACTTTCAGGCATTCAGTCATCCTCAGCCTTTGAGCCACCCAGCGGATGATGTATCTGAGAGAGAAGCTATTTATGTCAAGCCAGGCTCGAGACTCACCAGCACAATACACAGTGGCTAAGGCTCAAGAAATCATGAGTTAGGAAGGATTGATCCAATAGATAATTGGAACACATGGTCACTACCTCTAAGATTGCAAAAGAGACAAGAGCTTGCTAGACTATATAACTAGAATATATCAACACTAAATGGGGATCTAGGTCATTCAGTAACGAGTTCAGTGTTTTTCCTTTATAACCACAATGGACAATGTTTAAGAAATTCTATTCTGTGATCAGTATCTCACAAAACTGTAACTTTCCTGTTGATATGAAACATATTTGTTCATTTTTACTGAAATGCTTAAGTCCGATAATGGTGTAAAATAGATAATATGCTGAAATTTTAGCCATATGTAATAAGAATTCAAGTGCAATAAGTATAACTCTACCAGAGATGGTGAGAACATGCTATGATAAAACTCACTTTAAAATAATATTAGTTAACAAGTTACAAATTTTCTTTCAAAATTCAAAATGTGAATATATATAAAAATCACTTTTCAAACTTCACAACAAAATGACTACACATGGGTTAAATACATTTTTAATGCAAAGTTATCAGACTTTTCAACTTTAAACGGCTTGAGTCCCAGACTTGGTTAAAGGAGACAATAATTAACACTTACGCTCTTTCTTTCCACAAGGTTTGCTGGAACTTATTCAAATGGGTCTGCAACGCTGAAATTTTAGTTCCTTCCTCCATTAAAGGCAGGTTTCTCGCATGCAGTCTGAGTCCAGGGACCATGGCACAGTTTCCAGAACCAATAGTCTTGAGTAAATCAGTAAAATCTGAATTGCTCTTCATGTCCTCATTTAATTTATAAAGGTCAATGACCACACCTTCCTGGGGGGTGGAAAAGCATGGAACAATTTTATTCTTGAACAGTTTAATTTCCCAGGAGAAAAATCAGGAAAAAAAAGTTTTTCCAAAGAAAATTACTGTTATCAAGTGTTATCAAATCCAGATTTTCATTTCATTATCATTCCCTAAGAGTGTTGTTATATGACCAAGCTATATCTCATTCCTATTGAAATTTATTTTTCTATGTTCTCTATTATTACAATAAATTAATACTACAAAGGTTCTGCTATATTTTTGTTTTCTTTTTCTAAATACAGCTAAAACTAGCTCTGAACAGACCTCAATAGGTGTAAAAAGTTGTTTTACCAATTTTTCATGAATTTTTCTTTAAAGTCACTTTATCACAAGCTCCAAAATAATGCCAGCTGATTTTTTTTAAAAAAATGTTTTTGGAGGACAGAGTAGAAAAATTTTTCAAGCAGGTCTTCAATATTTTAATAGGTTTATTTATTGAATTCTAGTTAACTAATCAAATCTCAGATAGCATTTAATATACATATCTTAATAATGGGAATCAATTTAATAAACATGGACTATTACAAAATACTGCTTCCAAAATCATATACCATAATTTCAAACTTCACTGAATTTATACTATAGATATTGACCTGTAATTTCAAATTTCCCTGTCTTACAAAATTTAAAGGAAAAAAAAAACTCAGTTCAATCGAAATTCCAATAATTAATTTTAATATTTTCTTTCAATACTTCATATAATAATTGCACTGTCTTGAAAACAACAAAGTAAGTCATAAATTTCATTTGATTTTCTTTTTAAAACTTTACTAATACCTGTTAGTCTTTGACCTTAACGTATAGAGGTATGTATCATGAAATGAAATACTAATAATTGAAATGCATGCATGTGCGAAAAATCCTTTACTTTCTCAAATTCAGCCAGCTGACCTGTAATAATACAGAGATATTTTGTGGATTCTGAACACATTATCTTAGCTGTGTTTCCTCATCCCAGTAATTTTATTCAAATTTATATATTAATACAAATGAATTTTGAGGCTATAAATCAATATATTCCCAATAATATACATAAAGTTATTAGCAGTTTGTATGGTCAAGATTTTAAAAATTAGAAGCCCAAATAAGCAATATTTCAAAGTTTTTCATTTACAGAGGAATCTAGTTTATATACAACATAAATTTCAACCAAATAGATCTGAGATTTCCGGCCAACTTACAAAGCTGCAGGATATTAACTAAGGATCTAAGAGACGCAAGTGTACAGTAAATGCAGACAGTATAAACTGATACTATGGTGAGAGACTACATGAATCCCTAAAATTTCCTAAAGTGTGTTCCATAGGTCATTAAGAATATATATAAATATCAGAGTGAAGGGGTGGGGTGGAGTTTCAATAAACAGCTAGATTGAACAAACTTTTTTAACGTTTTATTTTATGTAAAATTTTCAGAAACCTTGACACTCAAGTTATACCAAGAACATCCAGATGTGGACCATATGAACAGTTTGGGTTTTTCTGTGTTTATTCAAGGTATCATTTCACAAAGAATAAATTGTGAGGCCAAATTCCCAAACCTCAGAAAGTATTTGAATTACCCTAGAATTTTTTAAAATTATTATTGACATAATTAGGATGAATAGAGATAAATGTTTCCAAATACTTTTAGCTCACATTAAGAAGTGCTGGGTTTTTTTTGATATAAATATTAATGAAGACACTGCTGAATCATGTACCTCAACAATTCATATGCTGAAGTCCTGGCAGCTAAAATCTCTGGATCTGACTATATAGTATTTGGAGATAAGATCTTTAATAGGGTGGTAAAGTTAAAATATGGCCATTAGAATGGTGTAATGATGTTGGCCATGTAAGCAGAAGAAATTTGGGAACAGATGTATAGAGAGAGAAAAGATGACATGAAGACACGCGGAAAACCCGGTACTCTATAAGAGGACGGGCCTTGAAAGAAACTAACCTTGTTGACTGACACTTTGTTCTTAGAATTTTAACCCCTAGAACTGTGAAAAAAAATTTTTGATTGCTTAAACTACACAGATATTTGTGCTTTGTTAAGCAGTTCTGGCTAACACACACTCTCCACTGCATTTATCAGCTCCCACCCGGTCCCATCACAACATACAACACTAAATCTGCACACAAGCTCTGGTTTCCTCCTTGGATTTTTTTCTTACCTTACTATTTGTGTTCTCCTCTCTAGGAAATTGTCTTCTCACCAAACACTCTCCAGTAAATTCGTACATTTGTGAAGTAGCCTGACACTGGGCTTTATTTTCGTAGGACATGTCTACAGTAGCAGAAAGCTCCAGGTTCTGGGTGATGTTAGCTTCTGATGCCTCCTTTTGAAGTGACGGCTTTTGTTTCTGTTTAAGTGCATTCAACTCCCTCACTGTCATCTCTAATTTTATTCTGAGTTGTCTCGCTTCCTCCCTGGCACTGTTCCTTTCTGCTCGAACTTTACTCCATTTTTCTCTCCAGTTTGCAGTACAATCTGACCACCATCGCATGGTCTTTTCCATCTGAGCTGCTCTAGCCTTGACTTCTTCAAGTTCCCAGAGCTGAAGTTCTTTGCAAATGTCCCAGCTGTTGGTGCTGAATGAGTGAGCTCTGTTACTGTGCCTGGCATGAGATTGCAGTCCATAATGCTGAAAGCAGGAATTAATGGGATCTCTGGGGAAGGAGGCAGGCACCACCTTGTCACAGTGTGGATTTATTGATGACTGTTGCATCTAGAAGATTTGTGGCTTCTCCAATAATTGATGAACAGAATCAAAAATTGATTTTATCTTTTAAGGCCTTAAAAAACACAGAGAATAAAATTACGTATTAACATTTCCCCTGCAATTATTAGAACAAGGCTTACATGGAAAAAACAAGATTAAAAGGGATGTATCTTTTCTGTGTTGCATATTTCTTTTTAACATACCTAAAAATATAAAAACTTTTACAAACTTGTAATTTCTATAAAAGTAAAAATTACTGACAAATTTTACCAAATAAATATCAAAAAAGCTGTAAGTCTGAAAATGAGGCTAGCATGTGATATAAATAATTCATTACAAAAAGTCTAATTTTATTACGGTAATATTCTTTGTGATATTGTCCATCACAAAATAAATTTGTAGTACTTATTACCCACTAGCTACACAGTGGTCTCCTTTTCCAGAGTGAATGAAACCTCCATTTGTTGAGATAGAGTGCAAACTCTAGTCACACTGTGTGGACAAAGTCACTCACAACCCCAGAGGCTGAGTTATATTTGATCTACATCTTCCATGTTGATCTCATCCCTTTGACTGTTCAGTAGTGTCAAAGCAGGCATATGATAGCTACGGAAGGAAGGAACATCAGGAGGAATTCTGTTTACTCTGCTTTCCTCCTGCTTGTACAAAGATATGTTTGAAGAAGCAAGTATAACAGACCTGTCGTCACATTTAAAACGATGGAACAGAAAAGGAATAGAGCCTGATTTAATGCCTAAGCTGCTGCATGAGACCTAGAATGTTTGCTTATGCATTCCTTGCTTCATGAGAAGGATTATCTGTATTTGAACTGTGATGGTTGCGTATTTTACCATAGGGAGCAGAGAGCACATCTAACTAATATATACATTAATTTCCTACTTAGGTTAATACTGTGATAATACTAAGAATAAAATATTATGAATAAGATATGCTTCTTGTTCTCAAAGATTTCATAGTTTAAGATGCAAGCATATATAAATTTTACAGTGCATAATTTACACCAGAAATATTGTATTTATTTATTTGCTCAAATTTTTCTGGAGTCAATGATAAATTCTCAGGGAATGTTCACGGTGGACTCACAAGTACTGTTAATCACAACTCTCTCTTCACTATGAGTATACTTCTCAGCATAGATAATATTTAATAGATTTAGAAATTTCAAAACTTTGTAAAGGAATAGAATTAATTTTCCATGTAAGTACTAAGGAAAAATTAATTTGAAAATACATAGTATTTCATCAATATGTGTGCACATTACTTTGATTAACATCATAATGTAGCTTTATTGTAAAATACAACAAATAAAATGTTTACTTTCATTTTTAAAATAAGAAATATTTCATTTTTAAAAGTTTTACTCAGATTTTAAAGTTTTTAAATCTTTTTTTTTAAATAACAAAGTTTCATAATTGTTGAAGATTACTCATATTTATTCTCAGGTATAATTTTATGGTATAAATAACTTTTGATATTTTATGTGCATGACATTAATTTCTCTCATTTTTAAATTTTATTTTATGTAGTGACAGATCATAAACTGTCTCACAATGACCCATCTGTTTCATTATCCTGAAAAATTTACAAACCATTTCTTCATTTACTTGAAAATATATTAAAAGTTTTAAAGACCATACAATAAAGACTATACAATTAAAAGACTTTAAAATATTAATTAGTATACACTTTAATTTGTAGTAGAAAACTCGTATTTTTCAAGTGTTCTATAAAGCTGTCATACCAGTTATTCCCTTATTATTGTATTTATTATAATAATATAGACTCAGGATTTTAATTATTTTATTAAAATTGTTATATGCCCAATCACATGTGAATTAGTTCTGAGTTGGAGTACTGTAATAGTTCTCCTCATTTACTGTAATTCAGAGAGTAATGATGATATGACTGACTAAATTTCTTTAACCATTACTAAACCACAATCAATACAAAATGAAAGAAGTAAGTTTTATGAGAAACACACACATATATAAAATACTTTTTTCAATTAGAATTCCAAACTGAAGACAATTAAGTTAAACATACAAAGTTCATCTTTGCCATTTTTCAAAGTAAGTCAGTAACATAGATTTCTAATGTCCTTCAAATAGCTCCTTAACTTTCATCTCACTAGTATTTCGAGGACTCTAAAATTGTATTCTGGCACTTTGAGAATTTGCCTACTAATTAACTATGTATTGCTTTCATATCTGACTGAATTAAAGTAAGTTGTGTTTAAGAATTCAGGCCTTGAACTTGAAAGCATTTCCTGCTCTAAAATTTTTTTTTTGTGCAAAGATAACTTGATACAGGAATATTTAATATACAACTATATTTATTAAATGAGTCATTTCTCTCTATATATGATACTACCTTCATGGAGTTTGTGGAAGGCTTTGAAAATACTTGCCAGTGGTTATAGCACAAGGTCTTTAAGAAAGGGAAAGTATTTTAATAATACAATTAATATTTAAATTTGGTTTCTTGTGCCAATTTCTACATTATAAAAATGTTCATGATCAGACTAATGTAGATAATTTTATACACACATACACATACATACATATAGTACTGATTGTCAGGAGTTATAAATGGATTTCACTGGGCTAAAATCCAAGGAGTTAACACATATGCATTCCTTTTTGGAAGCTCTAAGGATTCACTTTCTTGCCTTTCCTCCTTTTTGGAGACTTCCCACATTCCTTGGCTCCTGGTTCCTTCCTATCTTTCCATCTTTAAAGCTAATAGTAAACAGTCAAATCTTCCTGCAGATTGGCTGCACCAGTTTGTCTGTTAGGTAAGGCAAAAGTTTCTCAGTGCAGCAGAACTCATTACTATGTGTGTCACCTACAGGACTTTTAGGATATTGGGCCATCTAAATGGACTGCAAACTATTACACTATTTTTTCCAGTTTCTTTTCTATCACTTGAAAGAGAACTAACAGACTTTTAAAAATAGGGAATGTATAAGAAAAATGAAATGTACAAAATAAAAATAATTGCACATAATAAAAGTGTTGTAGGAAAATTTGAAACAGTCAGTTCATCCCATTATCAAACATCTACAAATTTGGAGGGAGAAGAGAGAGAAGAGGAGAGAAGAGAAGAGAAGAGAAGAAAAGAGAAGAGAAGAGAAGAGAGGAGAGGAGGGAGAGGGGAGACAAAAGGGAAGAAAACGAAGGGAAGAGAAAAAGAAAGAAAAGAAAAGCACTTGACTAGCACACGAGGCCCTGTATTCAAGGCCAGCCATGTGAAACACACACACACACACACACACACACACACACACACCTAAAAAACTCCAACTTCTAAATATCTTTTTTCACTATAATGACATATGTTAATTCTTTCAGAAATGTATTTGTCACATTTCCATTGTAGACAGTATGCTAAAATATCTCTTACTAAATCATGCAACAATTCTTCTGATCATATCATTGTATTTCGAGTTGATTCCAGTTTAAGGCAACTGAAAGTTCTGGGGTTCGCTTGTTGCTCCATTCTTCCCTGTCTCTACTTCCCATGCTGCAGCCACGAAATTGTCTTTTCCTTGTGCAACCTCACTTGTGTATTTGCTGTTGTACAATCAGCTGGCCATAAGTACGTTCTCTGCTCACCTCACACAAATCATTCACTGGTATCTTTAATTTGACAACCCTCTCACTCCCTGTTCCATGGTCTGAAAGGAATACCTCCAGTTGGCTACATTCTCCATGACAGTAAATACACAGGATATTATCTTTATATCTAAAATGTTGCACAAAAGAATCCGTTGTACAGAGGGCAGGAGTTTAAAGGTTATTGGATTTTAGGTGCACTACACTCATCGTAGATAATGCACTCAGCTGAATGTGCTGTTAGGAGCAGGACCTGTTGGAAGAGGTGTGTCACTGAGGCCCTGACCTAGAAGGGTGGATTCCTGTCCCTGGCTCTTTTCCTCTTGTCCTGCTGCTTGGTTTCAATAAATTGAAAGAATTCCACTGCCATGCCTTTCCACCATGCAGTTTCTGTCTTAGTGCAGTCAACTATAGACTGAACAAATTGATACTGAGTCAATACAAAATTCTTCTTTAAGCTATGATTGGCAAAAAAAAAAAAAAATGGTTCCAGAAAACTGGGACGACAGAAGTGTGGTTGTTTTGTCTATACCCAATCATGTAGTTGAGAATCCACTGGATTTGATTTGTGGAAGGAGGTTGGAAAAGCTTTTAGATATGAACTAGAGAAGACATAGAATGCTGTAAGTAGAACCTGGTGGATAATTCTTCAAAACCCTCATAAGAATGTAAAAAGTAAAAATCAACCTCATAAAGTTTTATCTGGAAAATAAATATATTGGAAACAGGACTAGAGATTATGCATATTACATTCTGACAAAGAATTTGAGTAAGTTTTCTCAATGCACTAAGATTATCTATGTGATTGAAGTTAAAGGTACCTGGCTAATTGATCTGGTGGAAATTTAGATGTAATCCAATATTCAGGCTGTGACATACATATTAACTGGTCACTAACAATAGCATTCTCCTCCATTTCTGATACTCTGTCATCACATTGGTCACTTGTGCTGTCTTACATTTCACAGGATTTTTGTTATCCTGAATTTCTACATGGAATCTTTTCATAGACTCTATTTCTCTTCTAGGCTGGTGATTCATGTTTTGAAATCTTTTGCTTAGTCTGCTAGTTTTTATTAGTGTCTTCTGTAGTCTCACTGATATTTTATTTGGTGCAATATCGGTCTAGTGATACCTTCTTTTTAAATTTATTTTTATTTAAAGAGAAAAAACATAACAAAACATCAAAAGGGTACAAGTAATACAGAATTGCAAAAAAATAAACAGTAAAAAAATCACTAGTTAACAGACTACATATTGTCATCTTAGAAATAGTTGTTCAAGTTACAAAATTAAAGCATACAAAGTGGACATTCAAACAGTGAGACTGCAAACAGTTGTGTTCAATGATCCAACAAAAACTTAGTAATATGGCTTTCTGTCTTACACATTTAAATATACATGCAGTTATATTCTTTAGAGCACTTTCTTTTCAACT